AATTATGAGATTAAGGGTGGGTCATACCTATTTAAATGAAATTTTATATTTAATAGGGAGGGAAAATAATGATAAACGTGAAGGATGTGGAGAAAAAAAAGACTGTAGAACACGTACTGTTAAACTTTAAAATGTATGAATATGAAAGGGAGAAATTGAGAAGAATGGTTGGAAGGACACACTGAGAATCTCAAAGCAATATTGGGAAATGAAGAAAATATAAATGATATTTACAGATTAAGGAAAGCATTATTAATTTATCTTCAGAATACAAATAAAAAAAAAACAGAATTTGATAGATGTAAAGTAATGTTGTCAAACATTCATGTACAGTAGGTGGCGGTATGCTTGCGATCAGCCATAATAGGAAAGAAGAAGAAGAAGAATCGCCAATACAGCGAAGAAGAAGAAGAACGTGTTTACGGAAGTTTATGTGCACCAGAATTTCTTTACATTTACATACTAACAGTTTACATATTTGTCTTATTTTCTACTTATGTCACATTTTTTATTTAATAATGTTTCATTAATAGGCTCTAATTAATGATTCCCCATATTGATTATAAAACGAAGAAATCCCAGTCATAGCTAGCTTTTTCCTTTTGTTGATAGAATCATCCATATGTGTGATTATAATGTAGATACAATTACTTTAGATATCGGCATTCTAATGTATGGTTAAAAAAAATATGGTCATACACATCTTAGCCTTTTATCAGATATGCATCTCCTTTGATGAGCGTCATCAAATGTTGGTTTATCATGGAGTTAAATGGAGAAGCTGCAGCTGAGGTGAAATGATGCAACGACGTTTCCTGTCATTAAGGTCCTTGTTTGGGCCAGATCGCTCTGGATTTTGCCTTGTAACATTCACTCTGATCACGCTGATGGTGTTGATCTATGTTGGGGGCTTCCAGGCAAGTCTGAGCGTCGGTCCAGGAGGATACTTCCCAAGGTTCAGAGGTATTTATGCTTTTAGATTCAATTCTATTTCAGAAATCTGCCTTAAAAAGATAGGAACTAATCATGTGATGTAAACTGTTTTTTTTTTCCTTCCTCAGATGTGTTCCTATATGCTCTTAGTCACGATGATCAGCCCTCCTTGCTGATCAGCCTTGTTCTTCTGCTGCTGCTGGGATCATGTCAGGAGCGGCGCTGGGGATCAGTGGCCTTCCTTCTCCTCTCCATCCTCACAATGGCTTTGCTGTCATTTATTTACACTTTGATGCTGTTTGTGGGAGGAGGTGAGGCGAGTCGGATCTGTGGCTACTCCGCCATCCAGCTCGCTCTGTTTACAGCTCAGTGTCGACAAGCCACAAAAAGGAGGCTGCTGAGGTGTTTACCAGTCTGGCTCCTGCCATGGCTTTTTCTGCTGGGTGGTTTGCTGCTGCTGCCAGGAACACCGCCCTTGCTTCACCTCTGTGCTATATGCATTGGACATAACTGTATCCTTTCCTGCATATATAATCTGTAGGAATAACACTGCATCTTGACAGATTCATGCAACACAATTTTAACTTCATAAGGAGCATTTTTTTTATAAGTTACCTTGTATTTTTTTTTTAGATTTCATGACACACTGTGATACATTTTATAATATCACTTGTAATCTATAAAATATTTTATTCCTTTGATCTAGTTTTATTATCCCATAACACAGGATGAACAGTTGCCCCTGCGATAGGCCACTGAATGCTTAGATTAGAATATATCTATACTAAGATAAAAAACAACTATGTCAGATTTATAATGTTTTTAATATATTGATCAATTTGTGTTTTTCTCTAGTTTTTTTTGTTGGAGAAGGATCTTCCCAAATCCCTTTAACTCCCCCCAGTCCTTCTGTGACAACTAATGCTCCACATATTCTATCCCTTCCTTTCCTTTCTATTGAGAAAACTATAGGTAGTTGGATTTTTTTTTTCTTTTGCCAGTTTTTGTTTTAATTATTGTTTCTTTGGTACAAATATGATCTAATTAAGCATCTAAAATTAACTTTTTTGGGGTTTTCTAAATTCTTGGTTGTAACCATTCTTTATTTTGGCCAATATTGAAAACATTATTGCTTAATGGGTCTTATATTAGTTGATTTTTTTTTGTATGTTTGGCTTCTATTTTTTGATATCTTTGGGGGTGGGTTGTAGCTCTTTTGGTATACAGGTTGTATTTTGGGGATAATTTGAAGACCTTGAGCCTTAAACATACCCTTTAATCTTTCTGTGTCCAGTGGTTTTGTCTTTTGTTTAAGCTAAAAATGCCACTTGAATGCATTTATTGAAACTTTGGTGACCGTTTCTCTTTCATGTTATCTCATCTCCTTAAATATAACCTCTAGATCAGCAGCCCTTTATTGGGGCCTTACAGGAACTGGAAGAGATCAGTATTTTTCCTTTCATTCCTAGTTGGATGTACGTTCCTACTTCAACCCGGTTCAGACTGCCAACGTTTGCAACCTCCCAGAGGTATTGTAAATCAATTACATTAACTGTCCGACCATCACTCTAAATGTATCTTCGATCACTCTTAGATTTTATTTCAGTACATGCACAAGCTGGTTTATTGTAGTGGGATTTTATGTGGTAGACTAATATAAATTAGTGCATAACTGAAGTAAAAAGAAAATGGTGCCTATCTAATTCTCTTTTCAACGTATTACAGAGATTTAAATATTTGCTTATTTTCTTTTTCAACAATCTCAGCCAGACTTGATGGATCATTTCTGTGAACATAATTTTTCTAAACTACATGCCTTAATGTTTAGCTCTTGCTGAGTGTTTAAGATTGTTCCCCTGGTGGCAAATTATTGCCACTACATTGTTTCAAACTAGTTCTCTTTGTTTCAAACTAGGGATGGTTGACTCAGGAACCTGTGCAATGTTCAATGACCAGAGCATAATTTTCTGTATTTTTACCATGTGTGCTAAATGGCTTTTATCAACCTGCAAATGAAACTTCTTTTGGCTTTCTTACAACTACCTAATTTTTCTGTCCACTTTCTTTAAGACCAGATGGTGCATCTCTGCAGCTCTTTCAGAGTTACGACGGGCCTCTTCATTGCTCCTCTGATTAATGCAATACTTATCCATACAATCTGTTTATTTTGCCAGCTATGCACTTGTAGGTCAGCAGTTACGGACTGCTGTTTTCACTATCTAATGACGGATTTAACTGCTCTGAGATATTCAAAGCTTGAAATACTGTTTCATCCAACTCTTTGCAGTAAACCTTTCAGTAACTTCAAATGAAAAACAAAAGAAAATATCATTTCCTGCTACTTTACTTCTAAACTGTATTTAATGATGGTTTATTAAAGATCTCATTAGAATATATAGAGACTGGCCATGTGAGTACATTTGAAATTATGTAAAAGTCACCCAAAACTAAATGTAACTATTTGTCAACAATTGTTTTTTGCGCTTAGGTACCTTCCACAGTTCATGGCTGAAAATCATGCAGCTCCTCCACCTGTGAGGGGTCCCACAGTTCACAGCCCCCACCCATGGATGGAGCCATCACCTGCCTGGGTGATGGAGGCGCGGTCTGCTGCTGTGTCTGAGACAGAAGTGCTGGAGGAACAGATGCTACGAGCAGGGATACTGGCCTCCTTACAGGATGCTCCTGAAGAAGGGCCTGACGCTAAAGTAGAGGTCCAAAAGTCATCAGTGTCTTCACTGCGGTTAGTGAAATGTGTGTTATGTATTTAGTAAACTAAAAAGAAAGATGTTAACTTAATACTTTTAAAATAGTAAAGTTTGCATTTTTAGTAGCCCTTAACATGCAGTCACCTGTTTCTGTTTCCTCTCAGGCTACAGCAGCTGGAGAAGATGGGATTTCCCACAGAGAAAGCTGTGGTTGCATTAGCAGCAACCAAGCAGCTAGATGGCGCCATTTCTCTACTTATTGAGGATAGTATTGGAGAACAAGCAGTGGTGGTATCTAAGGGAAAGAGCCATCCACCACCACGACAGCAGAGCATCTAAACAAGCTTCTCTTTTTTAGGAATCGCTCTGTTACGGATTTTTCACTTTTGATTTAAACTGGACATACGCCATGCTTGGGCTTTTCTGAGCTTCTGTATTTTCTCTTTGAGCTGCATGAAGAACTTATAATTAAAAAATAGCCCAAAACACTGGAAAAAAGCGGAAAATGTTCCAGAATTGTATGCTTTGTTGTTCCATATCAGCAGAGACAATATAAATGTGTGTGTGGGGTGTGTGTGTGTGTGTGTTGGAAGGGGTTAAAAACAAGTTTAATAATAACGTTTGTGCCATGAATTCAAACAGGTCACATGTTAAAATAGTAATAATAAAAAAAAAACATTTATTACACTTAGCATCTTAGCAGGATTACCTTAACACAGTAACACATTTGCAAAGACAGAAAAAAAAAAAAAAATCAAAATACAAAATGGTTACACAAAAGCTAACAACATAAACTACATTTTTAAATAGTTTCACAATAACTTTAAGATGAAAAAAAAAAAATGTATTTAATTTTTTTTTCATCAGAGCAGTTTTAGCAGTTATACAACACAACAGTGTTCAAGTTTGAATAACTGGATCTGCAAAACGTGTTTTCATTTCAGCACGTTTAGTTTCAGGCTGCAGCACCATGTAACACAGACGCCAATGTTTGTGCAGATTTTATGTCAAATCAGTCACGAAACATTTCAGGGGACAAAAAAAAAAAGCAAGAAACTACAAATCACTAATTAAAAACACATTGAATAGAGATGACTTCATCTGTTTAGTGCACTACATAACACCGAGTTAAACAATAAGATGAAATTTTAGAAAACGACTACTAGAGGAGAAGGGAGGTTTATAATTCTGTAATGAAGACTGTACAAGATCATAGTTCTTAAATAATTAACCCCCTTCAGTTTGCAAACATATTATGAAAGCAGAAGAATTATTTCCGCTTTTCATTTCTTCAAATTGACCCCTGTTGTCTGGAACAGTTTGTCTCCCTACCATGATGACCTAGAATGAAGATGTAACTGATTAAGCATTGTTACCGACGCATTGTCTTTAGCTCTATACTGTAGCTAAAAAAAAGAATGAAACACACAAGATTCAGTATGAGAGGGAAATCAAATCAGTTCTCAGGTTGCTGATGTAGCAGGGTGTCATGAAGCTTCAGTTGAGTTTCCCTGAGGTGTCCTCTGTTTTTATCCATGTGATAAAAGCCCAGACTGGCCACTGGATAAGGTCTGTATGAGCTGAATACTGGTGAGAGACCTGTTGGAGGGGAAGGCCCAGTCTGTGATCCTCAGGGTTGGTGTGAAGGATAGGGGAGCTACTTCCCTCGGGCGTTGGTGTCAGGAAACAGAGGAGAAGCAAGTCGATGTGGATGTGCACCTGCTCGCTTATCTCTGTAGAAACTAGGGGAAGATGTGCCGAACGGTTCGTCCCCAGACCCTAGATCAGGTTCTGTTGAAGAAAGACAACAGTTGGAAAAGAGGCCTCCCTCTCCATCAACACCTGAGGACTTTTGGCCTTTTTAGTTTATTTTTATTTAAGAAAAGCAAACTTAAGACTTTTCTGTTTAGTTTGGCTGTTGCCCGACATTGATACAGAATTAATTGTAACATGATTTTTGTTTATATTTTTATATCATATTTTTGTATTTAAACTTAATGTAAGCTTTTAATTATAGCGTAGTTATACTTTCTCTTTCTATATTTAATTAATTTATTATTTACAAAAATGGCTGCCTATAACATTACTTTCTCTCACTGAGTTTTCCTGTTTGGCACAGCAAAATAATTAAGAATTACTGGATCCAATCACTTCATCTGCTCTTTTAGAGGATATATTTTATCCACTATTGCCCACAATAAATTTACCCTTTTTTAATCCGAAAGATTGTATGACTGGTCCCAGAATTTATCTGTTTATGGCAAGAAACAAAACAAAAAAAAAGTAGATAATTAAAACTGCATTTTCCCCTCCTTTTTATAAAATAGAACATACTACTGAACAGCTGCCTCTATTCTTTTGTGTGTCTGCTAAGTCATTTTAAAAACCACAGCAGGTTGCAGCAGTTAGGTGCCCGTAATAATAAAACTTGAAAAAAAAAAATGTTTTCTTCCATTTTAAACTAAGTTGTTCATTTCTACTGTTGCCACATACCTGATAACATTTCTGTTTTCAGGCAGCATGTTTTTCAGAAAATCAATATAAAATATTTAGGTGCCAGTTTTGACAGCTCTCTTTCCCCTGAATAGCATTCTATAAATTGAATATTTGAAAGTAGAGATTGTCAAAGTGTCTTAAAATGAACCTTTGTCTCTCGCTTATTTAGACTAATGTAATTTTCCTTTTATTTGCCTTTGCAAATCAGCTTTAGATAGCCTTCAGAGTGTACAGAACAAGACCTTTAATGTAGATCAACAGTAGAGAACATGTTAATGCACTGACTCCCGGTACATTATAGCAGACATTTAAAATTTTGGTCTGAACTTTTAGGGCACATCATGGCCAACTGTTTAATTCAGATATAAATGGAGTCCTACTGTTTCTCTAGGACTTTCAGATCATCAAACCGTAGCGTTTTCAGGCAATGGACCAGAGACTCTGTCTTTTCTTTCCCACTGTCCATGCACTGCATGAACTTCAGAAAGCAATTAAAGATATTTTTATGTTGACAGTCTTTAAGGAGATTTCCACATCTACTTCTAAATATATTATTGATCTTGTGTTTTGTATTGTGAAGGACCTTATTAATAAAAAGTATGATATATATATATATATATATAAATATATATTATCTAACCTCTAGTCTTAAGACCAAATGCAAAGCTTTTTGATTTTACAGTCATTCCCATTGGGTTGAAATGGTATCCTTTTTTTTAAAAATATGCAAACAAAGACTTATCTACAGATTAATGTCCTTTTCTGAGGTTGTTCTTTTCTCTGCATTAACAATTAAAATTTAAAACTTTATGCTATTCTGTGCAGGAGCAACATTCAGGCTCACTGTCCTTAAATACCATTCTTTACAACATACTTATAAATGAATAGCAGAATTGTGTCAAAATAGTAGTTTTGCTGGATTTATTGTATCTTTTTTGAAAAGAATAAAGAATATCAAAAAAAAAAATGAAAAGAACACAATAGCCTTTAAACTGTCGTGTTTCTGGAAATCACAAACAAAGCAGTGGAAAAACAACTCATTTTCTCTAAATAATCAAGCATAACTACAAGCTTTAACAGCCAGAAAGAAATAAAAATAAAAAGTTATGAGTTTAATACTCAAAATTAATTCAACCCACTGTTGGGGCCGCAGTCACTTGTGTAAATGTCATATTCATATGCTTCTCAGTCCTAATCTGGCAGCAAAAATATTCATATCCCTTAAAACTTTTTCATATTTTAACCTCAAACCTTAACAATCTTTTGCTGGGATTTCATACGGTCAACAGTAAAATAAATGGAGTTGTCTGGTGAAGGTCTCAGAATTATTAATAAGGACCATAATAAAAATGGAGAATCTGTGGCTACAAAAATTCAAAGAGCTCTACTTGGTAAAACATACCTCAAAAGTAGTTCTACTTTTAGGTTGGCTTCATGGAGTCTATTTATAGATGCAAGCCATTATTTTTGGCCAAACCTTTCCAAATAATTTATTCCTTTCTTTTTATCTTACAACTATTTGCTTTTCGATGTTGGTATAACTGCTAAAATCCCAACAAAATTAATTAAAGTTTATGGTGGCAACATGAAAAAAAATGTAGAAATTCAAGGACTATGAATACTTTGCCAGGTGATGCATATTGTGTTAAAATAGTGACGTTGAACAAAGCCAAAATAGAAACAATTAAGGATTGGATCTATAAAAAAAAAAAAAAAGAGGTTTGGAAAATGATTTTAACATCTAAATTCATCAAAGCTATAAACAAAATACATTTATGGAAAACAACCTCTCAACTTTTCTGACTATATAACAACATTCCAAGTTTTGGAAACAGTCGGTGATGATAAATCATTTTTTTTCTTACTTATCTAGTGGAGAAATGGGTCAGCAGGACTGTGGGTGTTTTGGTATTACCTGGCCAGATGATAGCCTCCAACAGTGTCACCCTGCGAGCTAGAAGCTCAAGGTCTGCCTGCAAGTCTTGGAACATCTGCAAGCTAATGTCCTATCAGAGAGCAGTGACAGGGGGACTTTATGAGGCTGCAGAAAACACTGTCCAAGTCCTGGGGCTGCCTGTGACTGTTCCTGCCCTCTGTCCCAGCAGTTTGGTATGGTGGGAGTATGAGAGTACCACCCACAGCTGTGACCCCTGCCTAAAGCTGACCCTTCCTCAGGCCTCCTACTCACCATGAATACCGATCATAGTCTCAAGGATTAAAACCCTCTCGGCTAAGATCTTCAGGGCCTCTCTGATCTGATGTATGCCGTCCCCCTGTGAAGATAGATACAGCCGTCAAGGTAAAAAGCAGAAGCTGAAGGACAGTTGGCCAAGATGCAAGTCAGGTTTCCAATACAGTTTAGCTGTTAGAAGGTTATAACAGTCCACATATCTGTCCAGCATGAATATCCATTCCCTAAATGTATCTTTATATTTTCTTTACTAACATGCTGCATATTATCATTCTCCGCCATGCTGGGCAGGCAAACATCAGCATGCACATGACAGACCAGCATCACGTGGCAGCATAACACAGCTGAATCACACTCTCAGGTTATAGAGATTGCAGCAGCACCCGCATTCTCTTATGTTTTTTCAGTTCCACAGAGTTCAGTCTTAGTGCATAAAACACACAGAAGTTACCAACTTTCTGTCATTTGAAAGAGGTCCTAAGTAGATTTCTACTCTTACATCTGATTTGTCTTTTGTTGAGGTATAAGGCAGCAACCTCAGGGGGTCTTTACCTTAAAAAGTAACAAAAGTACGGCAACAGGAGATGTAAGATAGACAGACAGCTGTAGGCATCACATTCCCCAAAGAAACATGCAAAGAAACATGGCTGGAAGTTTTCAAAAAAGTGTGAATGACTTGTTTAGGAAAAAAGAACTGCTAACGAATGGCAACTCAATGGCATTATGTTTAAAGGAAAAAGGCAAAGTTACTTTAACAGCAGGGATTCCTTGCATTATAGACTGCAGGAAATATTCCAGCATTATAATCCCCCCAAAAAAATATTATTGGAGAATTTCTGTTATCTACTGCAATGACTAGAGATCCACTTTTAAATGCAAGGTCAAGGCTATTATTTAGTACTTTCACACATATATGTTTACTTTCTTTAACATGTTTGCTGTGTCATGGCTTTTGGCAAATGAGACAAAATCCAGATTTGTGGAGAGCCCAGCTACTAGTTTAGTCAAAAGATTTTCAGACCTATGCCATAAATTTATGCAATTAATGTGACCCTGTTGATTACTCCGACTAAGACGCTCCTTCTCCATCAGTTTTAGAGTTAAGGTGATGAGCTAATCTTCAGCAAAAGTTAAAAGATTATCCTCCAAAAATGCTGTAAAAATACACACCAGATTTTGATTTGTAAAAGGTTCAAACAATTTTCTTTTTTCCTTTCACTTTTCAAATAATTTTGAGCAATCACATAGATGTTTGAAAGGAATGCACAGCAGTATCTTGAAATCATGTCTTTCAAAAAACAGGAAAAAATTCATTTAAAATTAATTATTTAGCTTTTAGCAAATATCTGAAGCAACCATCTTCTTCCTCACAAAAAAACTAATTACAAATAAATACACTTTTATCCAGACTTTACAATAGCACTGCAAGGTAATGGAAGTAATTGTAATCCTCAAACAAAATTAGCAGGCAGGTGCAAAAAAACATGGCTGCAAAAAATTGTTTTTTTGAGCTAAAATCAGTGCAGCCGGCAGATGAGCGTATCGCCATTTGGTAAGTTTGCCGTCGACATTAAATCCTTCTCTAAATAAAAAGATCATCTTTACCATTTTCCTTTAAATTGCACAGTATTAGTTCACACACTGAATATATTAAAATTAATTTAATAAAGAAGAAAGTGTTAATGCAGCATTGTGTTTGTCATGCAACAGTTGAAGAAAAGGGATAGCTGTATCCACTCCACTCATATCAGATCAAAACACCTTAAAAAACCCATGAACATAATGGAGCGATTTGGCATATACATCTCAGGTATATTAGTCAGATTCCTGTATAGAAAACCAAACAAATTGGTGAAAATTAATATCGCACACTTGGAACAAAGTAAAATAACTTATTTTGCACCAGTTAAGACATGTTGTTCTTGTGCTGGTATGGGTATTTATATGCATATGCCAAAGTTAAAAGCTGAAAAGGTGACTGTGAATGGTAGCCATGGGGAAATTTGCTTGCAGTGGGAGTCAGACAGCTTTAGGGTCAAGATGACAGTTTTGTAACAGGGGACAGCAGTCCAGAGCAAACCCCAAGGACCAACAAATGCACACTTACGAAAAAAACAAACAAAAAAAATCAGACAGATCAGACACAGACACATAGAGGGGTACATTCTAATTCACAAACAATATCAAACAGGTATGTATCAATAGGTATGAATGTATGAACCTGACAGAGAGATGTGCAACTAAACAAATACGTCAAAATAACAGATTAAAGTTCATAACCAGAACCTGAGATGTTGGTTTTTATACTTAAGAGATTAAAAATGAGATGGCTGAATTAAAATATCTTACAGGTAGATTTTTCTTGCAAAAAAAAAAAGCAGACGTCAAAGTAAATTTAGAGTTAAGCATATACTGTAGAACATTTTGACACTTGAAAAGAGAAAAAATCTAAATCATTGTTGATTTGTGTTACCTTAATGAGCTGCTATTAACTACGGCCTTACCGGCAAGCCCTTCTCCCCTGGCTCTCCTTTTGGCCCTGGCGCTCCCTGTGAAGAGATGCCAACAAAGCGTTGCTTTAAAACATAAATCTATTGAGCATTTTAGAGCTGAAAAAAATAAAACCATTCCCCTGCAGGTTTGTGATGTTTTTAGTGCTGCTGTTTAGTGTAGTTTATCACAACATAACCAAACATGAGATGAGTTTATGTTTCCCTCTCAAACATTCTTCAAAAGCAGAGTAGAGGTGACTTACCGGCTCTCCTCTGAAGCCTCTTTCTCCTGGATAACCGGAAGGACCCTAAGAAATGAAAGGAAAGTTACTAGAAATGAGATAATTAAGTTTAAACATATTAGAATTGCAGATCTTAAATCGATTAATCAGTAATTAGAATAACTTGAAATAAATAAGAGGCAGTTCTATCATACGTTATTTAAAATTAACTTATTATGTGAATAATCTATATCTTACACAAGGTGTTTTGCTTTTTTCAGGTGTTGATATCTCCACATCAAATTTATTTGATTTATTTAACAGCTGCTGGTCTAAATGCAGGTTTCAGTTGTAACAAAAGGTGAACCGGACTTATAAAAATTGATGTACTTTAACAAATTTTACTCTACTTAAATATTTAAATTTCCATGAGATCCTTCAGGGTTTTATGCATTGTTTAGAAGCATAGACGTTACTATATGCATGCTTCTGAAAGGAAAGAAATAAAGGAGAGTCTTATAAATGTCTTCTTTTAGTTCTTTCAGGAATTTAGCAACTTCCCTGAAAAAAATGACCCAAACTAAATAAACATTTTGTTTTATTTACTAGGAGACAAAACAAGGTTTTGTGTCATTTTATACAATGTTTTTATAAAAGGTTTCAACTGTATGCAGCAACATAATATTACTTTTTAACATGAAAGAAATCATAAAGCTAAGTAACAGTGGAGGTTTTTTATGTGAGCAAAGACTCACCACCTTCTATCGGGGGACAGCAGAAGCACTTGGCAAAGCATAAAGAGAACTCTTCATAGTAATAATATTTTGTCTCTTCCTTGCATGTTTTATTACAGAAGAAGCACTGTAAAAAAGTACACTTATGCACCATTAAAATCTTTATTTAAAATCTGGAATTGTACTCATTTTTAGTGTTAAATAAATAAAAAAAAAAACTTAATTTTTTTTTTTAAAAAGACATGAAAATCACTAGTGCAATGTATGCTCCATTCTGTAAAATGCTCATTACACCATTAGTTTAATATGAAAACACCCAAAGAGTCAGAGTCAACTTCCGTCTCATTATACACTTAATTTTTGAGCAAATTCTTGAATTGTAAACATTTAAAAAGTTATGCTTTTTAAGAGAGCAAAAACATTTGGTTAGAAATGAGAGAATTCACCAACTCTGCTGGGAATGATCCACAAAGCTTTCATACTCTTTATGGATTAAAAGCAATGGAGATCCCCTTTCATTAGATTTTAGTATGGCAACTGAGGGATCACTGTAAATAACTGATAAAAGCAAACAACCCCCCCTTAAATCATCTGGGGTTCGTTCCCTTTATACACTTCTTGATCTTCATGGTCAGAGTTTTCTTTGCATAACAACTGCAGACGTTCCCAAACAAGTGAAGAGTGTTGTGGCTTCACATAGTGTGACCGCAGATTTGGTATACAAACATAGCCTATTAGGACTGAGAAATGTGTTGCTTCATGTGAAACATATTCAGAAATAAACAAAAAAATGTCTGTTTACCAAAATTGGCCAAATTTGACAGGAAAGTCAGAGGCTCAAAAACCATAAGTAAGCCCTACCATACTGCATTCACCATCTACAGTAGTAGCCATTCAAAATTTCCTCACTTTCCTTGATGATTCCTTGGCTGGTCCTTGGCTGGTCTACAATTGCTTTTTAAACATCAATCTTTGTACTAAAATAATCTTTCTGTCATAATTTGTGGACATTAAGATCTAAAGTGATCTTGGTAAAATCCTGTCCCAAGATCGTCCTGGTAAAATCCTGTAATTCAGTGAAAGGGTGGAGTACAAAAATAAGCAAGAGGAGATCACTGCAGTGGCTGGAAGTTGGAGGGGATTTAGCTGGGAGTTGCAGGGAAGTGGGCTGCCATTTGGCTGGCGTTTGACTGGTAAGTGCCACGAATGGCTGCTGATGTATTAGGTCAGATTAATTGCACTCTTTGGTGTGGAAGTCAGCTTATTGAGTAATTTGGCTATTTTTTCAGTAAGAGAGCAGTTTAAAAATGTTAGAACAAGTCGAAGGAAATGTTGGAAACTTTATTTTCTATTAAATGAGTCATATCTGCACTTCATTAAGGCCAGAAAGCAGATGAGATTTCAAGCAGATAACAAGGGTTAAGTGGAGCACAGAAAAGTCTCTACTTTTGACTCAGACTTTGAACCCCTCTCTGCAAAGAAACATGCTGGATTTGAACATTTTGTCAGCCTTTTAGAAATTTTAGAGTTCAAGTAAAAATGTATTTCATCTAAACCTGTGGTTCTCAATCCTGGTTCTCAAGTGTCGCTTCCTTGCATGTTTTAGATTTTTTCCTCGCTGCCACACACCTGAATGATGTAAAATAATGATAAACAGTCCTCTGCAGCACTTGATGGCTGTGGAGGTCATGCAATCATTTGAATTAGGTGTGCTTCAACAGAGAGACATGCAACTCAATTTTTTTATTATTTTTGTCTACATTTTAAAACTTCAGTTAAAGATTGTTTTCTTAGCAACTTATCTCACGTAGAGGGTTGTGGGTAAAAAACAATAACTGACTGCCTTGCTTACATAATTTCATTAAGGGAAGTCGGACACAGTCGAAATTTGTATAAGCAAGTCAGATTTCCCCTTAAACTTGGGATGAGAAGTTAGCCACATGGATTCGGATCTATAAAGTGCATCATGATTATGCTGTCAGTGCGCTGAACTAAAGCAACAGTGTATTTCAACAACGCTTCCAAGATTCTTTTATTTTGCTCAATTTTGCCTCAGTTTTACAATGTTTAATGAAATATTACATGTTTACAAAAAAATATTTGTGCGTTTAAATCTAATATTCAGCCTAGTATTCAAATTGAGACATAGGCAACCTGATTTTAAAGCTTTTACCAACTGTCAAAAATACTAGCGATGACAATTGGAGTCATTTAGCCAACTGGAGCACATTTGTATTGTATGATGTTGAGGACTGTCCTTTAAATAAGAAACATGGGCTGACAAACCTTATTTTGTAAAAGATGAAGAGCAAGAACAATACACATCCGCAACTTAGGTTTACAAGGTACTTACTCTTTCCCCTCGATCTCCTTTTGGTCCGACTGGGCCTGGTGCCCCAGGTGTTCCAGGGCTCCCCTGCAGTCAGTCAGAAAAAAACAAACCAAAATGACAAACATACTGACAGCAACAGTGCTAAGCACACCTGGTGAGTCCAGAGTATGGTTACATTGCATGTAAGGCAGCTTACATTCTTTCCTGATGGGCCAGGAGGGCCTCCTGGGCCTCTGGGACCTGGGGGACCTGTGTGTTAGAAGCATGGAGTCATTGTTTCTCTCTAATGAAGAAGGCAAAGCCCATTCTGACATGATGTTTGTGTTTCCCCCTAATTTAAAGTAAATCTTTGAGGCATGAACACAACCTTTTCAAACTTCAAAAACCCTGACAGAAAAAGTCGAATAAAATGTACATTCAATATTAGGATGTTTGAGTTGCACACAGAGGTTTTCCAGCAACCGCATAAACATCCTGTAAACATAAACACTTACCGACAGGCCCGGGAGGACCCTCAGGTCCTGGAACAGGCAAACCTCTTGAGTCATGGAAAGTGTTGGTGAAGAAGGGATCTTTTCCATGATCTGGGTTTGAAAGAAATTTAATGAATCAGATACTTAAGTGGAACTTCAGACTAATGAAGAAACAATCTAAGAAGATAAAAATCTGTCACACTTTACACGATGATAAACATGTGTCACAGAGAGTAATTATTGTCTTTTTAGCCATTCACTTTAAACAAATCCACTGACGGAGAGGATACATAGTTTTTATTCCTAAAAATTGGTAAATTGTGACGAACATTTGTTTTTCTGTCTTCTGCTGCAGTTATTGGCCGTTTCCGCTAGCTTTTCAGCTTTAGACTGAAATGTTTGAAAATAATCTTTGAAATATAGACCAAACTCAGTCAGATTAGATGTAGAGCATCTTTAAACACCAGGTTTGCCACAGATCCTTAATTGGATTTAGGGCTTTGACTAGATTAATATAGTTAAATTTTATTGTTGTAATTTATTGTTCTAGTCAAATTTGACTAGGTTCTAACACTTTTTTACTTTGATGTACACATAGACGAAATTGTTGGTATCCTTGTTTATCAAAATAAAAACCCCCAATGGTCATAGAAATGACAAAAGTTATAATGAATTAAAAAAATCTATTCAGATTTTTTTATTCATTATTCATTCTATGCTTCAACAGAAATGTTGTAAAAAATAAACTCATAAAAGAAAAAAATGTATTATTATTATTTCTTTCTCCCCTCATTCTCCTGGACACAGGAGGGCACGATTTATTTGCTGCTTTGTTGCTTATCTGATGGGCATCCCCTTAGTGCATCACAATAGCTGAGCTGAATATTATCGAAGACTACCTCAAAAAATAATTTGAATTCTTCCAGTAGCTTGTAGTGTTTGCATAGTTCAATAGAAATAATAATTATTATAATAATAAGATATGGAGTATTAGGTTCAATAAAGCAACCCCTTTTTTGAAATGTGGTTTTCTGTGATCATTTGGTACAGCAGAGGCCGGTTGTCTTTAAGAGCAGAGCCTACTTCTGTTGTGTTAACAATTTGAATACACAGACAAAAATAGTTTTCTTGTGGTTAATGACTAATAACTCTGCTTAATGTATAAACCAGTTTATAAACATTTACTGATGATGGACACAACTTGGATTTGAACAAAATATCCAGTCACAAAGGTAAGCAGCTAATGACACCTGGTAATTGATCAAAAAGTCAGTTATAATCATTTAAATTAACTTATCTCTTTATATAAACTTGGAGGCTTCAGTGAGTCCAGTGTATCTTTAGGATGACCTCCAGAGGGCAGTAACTTCCAGATAAATGTGAAATTTCATGCACAAGTCAGCAAGAGCTGCTCCAAACCCACTAAACTATACTTTAATCAAAAGTACCTAAGCATCATTAGATCCAGGTTGGAGGGTCAATAAAGCTGAGTCTTGCTATATTTAAATGTTTCCATATATTTTATGTGAAACCTCTTGGACTCAGATCAATCAAACCACATGTACCCACAGCAAAAGTACAAGAGGAAAAGGGTGGTGAACATGTGTGTGATGAGGAAGTGTGTGGCAGCTGGGTCATTTTATTCTGACAGGAAGCACAGATCCAATCACAGGCCTGAGAACTGAGAGATACTGAGATGACAGAGGAAGAGGAAGATGGTGATGATGAGGAGGAGGAACGCTGATGGCCATAAACAACCTCCCTCAGCCCAACGTGTGGACATCACTAAGCAATTAGGAGCCAAGTTGACAATTTCTTTTGAAGTATTAAGGCAGCCACACTGATGAATACTGAAGTATTCTCACAGTCACCCTCTTCACTGCTGATGCCCATCCAGTGGCTAAATGCGGGTGTTTTCCAAAGGAAGCTCGGTGCAAACCAACCCCCGCCTCTGATCCTTAGTTACTTTGATGTCAAAGAAATAGCCAACACTTTGGAAGTCATCATGCCAACTTCATCGCCCCCGCAGCTCTCCCCAGCGGAACTCAGAGATTACAAATCTTTGTACTGCATACTTTGTTTTACCACCAGACCCAATTGTAAAACCCATGGGTTGACCTTGAAAGAGCCCATCCATCTCCTGTTCCCCTCCCTTAGCTCTCTGAGGAACCTACATCTGGAAACCGTTCAGTGACATTGGTTGTTGACAGGCTCTTGCCTCAGCATGTGAAGTCTGCATCAATTTGACAGGTTTTTACTGAGTGTGCATCCGATCCACTCTTTGATTCTGATCTACTCTGCTGGTAGTAGACAAATGGCAGATGGGAGCAGGTAGCAGCAGACAGGCTTATATCAACCTGCATGGTTATTTAAAAATCCATTTTTGCCAAGACTAATATTGCTTGGATATAACATTTTATTAACTGAACCCAATCACAAAAAAAGCTTCCACCCTCTATTGACATAATTATCTTAAATTCTCACTTCGTAATGAAGTTTAACTGTAATTTCATTACAACTTTTATATAAAAGTTACACAATAAGAATTTTTGAAATGTAGGAACACTGACCATTTTTTCCCCCTCAACACTAAAATGTAAAAAAACAAATGTTTATTTCTTCTGTTGATAAAACAGGAGATAAGGTGATAAGTCAAAAGCGAAGGAAGAAATGTCTTGTAGAAGTAATTTAACAATAAAACAACCAATCCTCCTTATGAGAAAAATCTAAGGATGGACTTTTGTGAGTTCTGGTGCTCTGTTGGCATTAAAATTTGCAAAAGTGTTTTGATTCATCTTGAAAAAAAAGAATGAAAGTTTCTAGAGGGAGCAAAGAACTTTTGTTGCACCTCATTTGCTAAAGATGATTATAAAATAATAAAGACATGACTTTGAATCCTTATGTTTTAGATTTAGATTTCCTTTTTTGCATTTGGTTTTGTTTTTAGTTGCGCTTCCTATTTTAGTTCATAGTTTTTTAGTCCTGTTTTACTTTGGAGTCTAGGTGTGTTCCATTTAATTTCAATTCAATTCAATTGAAAATACTTAATCTGATTAATTAAACAAGATTTAATTTTCGCTAGTTGAACTAAGTCACTGCCTCGATCAGTTTCAGTTTTTTTTCTTCAGCATCTTGCTTTTCATTAAACGTCTTCCATCTAGAACTCTGTCTCACCTGCTATCCATTCTTTAATTCTCCATCTCAGTATTTCGGCCTCTTTGGTTCAGTTGTGCTTTGTGAAATTCTCCTGTTATCAATCCATTTGTCATCCTGTTTGAGTCTATAAAATGTGCTTTCATAATGTTTCCGTGATAAACAGGTAAATGCATATACCCTAGCATGGCTTACTTTCTTCTTTTACGTCAAACAGCTCGATCTGCCAAGATCACAGGCCTTGTGTGCTTTTACATTATTTAAAAGCGGTTGTGGAACCAGAAGGGGATGGCCTACATTAAGCTGCACTAATCTGGAAAAAAAGATCTATTACTGTTAAATTCAAATATCCTTATGGATGGAGTCTTCTGTCTGTTTTCTGGGTTCATTTGGTGCATACATTGGTCTGTTATCAGGGGACCAAAACTAATCAATCAAAGCCATAGTAACGTGTTCAGAGGGATAACGTGACACAGTGTGGCCATTGTGTGAACAGAAAATGAACAAGAATAAAAAACAATGGAATTTATTTGCAGCAGAGCAAACGTATATCTACTGTTTTCTTGAATCAACATGATCAAGATTAAATCTACACTAAATACGTTTGCTATTTTCCTATAAATGCAAAAGCAATATAGAACTGACATAGGATAGTTACCTTGTCCATAAGCAATGGTGACATGATAAATGCAACAAAACTAAGAGGACAGTGATGTTTGAACATTAAAAACTGAAGGATATATTTGCATGTGTATGGGGGTGAAATGAAACCCCACAAACAGTGCTGCGCTTTTGTGTTGCAATCATTTTGCCAAAATCTTTCCAAATGCATTTACTTCTTTTTAAACTTGTTGCATGTCTAATTTAGCGAGTTAATCATATATAACATATTCTGCTGATCAATAGATGCCTGAAATCAGACTAATAATTACTTAATGATAATAGGATATATCTACTGTGTACACACCACACTGTACTGTTTTGTATTATATTACAGCTGTTTTGAAATCCAGCTTTACCCCTTGGATTCCATTGGTGTAACTGGGTAATTACTATCTTAGTTAATTTTAGGCTTATTCTTCTACCCATTCCCTTGAACGTTTAAATCACGAAGGCTCTGACATTACGTTACATGTTAATAATCTTGCACATGCTAAATGTCAATTAATAAAGTAAACATAAGACTGTCTCCCTTTTCTCAGCATTTGGATCCTCAATGACCAATGTCTATACGAATGTGCTGATCTTCTGTCAGTATAATGTTCAATTCTGTTGCTCTACCAGACTCTTAAGTAATCTTTGACTAAACTTTGTATTCCAAATGTTTGTTTGGACTTAACAAATTTCTTTACAGTGTAGTCTCTAACCAGCTTTAGCTGCTTTAAAGCTACAGTGTGTAACTTTCAGCGACATCTAGCGGTCAGACTGCAGACTGCAGCAACATGAACATCTCCCCCCCACCGCTTCTCCCCCCCAACAGTACGGCGAGCTTTACGGGACAAAATGTCTTCCATCAGGTCTGCATCACCTACCTTCTCAAGTGATGAGGTTTGTTTACATAGATAATTTTACAGATAGTATTTCATTAGTCTGTGTAGGGTATAGATTTCATGTAGACTTAAGATAATAAATATACCCGTTATTTTTTCTACATCGTTGTGACGTTTTGGTGATCTCGCAATCGCTAGTTTGTTGGCTCTGCGCTGCCGTAGCGCAAAGATGTCTGCCTCCATGGCTGCGAGACCCGCTCCTATGTAATTATAAATAACGAATTCTAAGGAAACGCAAATATTAAGGTTAAAAGGCTGAGCTCGTAGATGATGATAAAATAACATAGTTATGTATAATATATTACATTTCTGACTGTATATCCCTGTAATTATTACACACTGTAGCTTTAAGATAATTAGGTCTCCTCATTATGCCCCATGAATCATTTGAACCACAAGGGCGTGTATTTGTTTCATGTCTTTGCAGGATTTACATTTATATATATAAGAATAAAATGATCCGATATAATTACCATCCAGGACACTTTATGCATCCTAAATCTTACAGGTACCTCTACTTCTGCAGGTAATTTAAATAATTTTGGATTGCTTTAAAAGCAACAATCTGTATTTTTCTGTATTTTTCCTCAAGGCTGAATTGGATGAGGGCTTGTTTAGATTCTGTATCCAGACAAATTGCTTTATTTGTGCAAATACATTATTAGTTAGATTTTAAAGTTTCTACACCTTATTCACCCTAAATAAAGATAAAAAAAAAAAAAAAAAACACTTGTATTTTTTACTTTGGGAAAAGTCCCTCACTAACCTGACTATATTTCTATAAAACCCAAAACGTAACAGTAAAGATACCAGGCCTGCCTATGTGATACATTCACTGAATGTAAAATAAAGCATCACTGTTTTCACTTAGTTGTGTAATGGTAACATAGATATGGAAAATGTCCATTTGCATATTTCTTTTGTCATCACAGTAATTTTAAGAATAGACATAGACACGCTGAGTAAATCCAAAAAACAGTCATTGTAATCTAATAGTCTGGACATAACTACAAAGCCATTACTAAGGCTTTGGGACATCATTATACTACAGTCAGAGCTGATATTGACAAATGGAGAAGACATGGAACAATCATTACCTGGAGTCACTAGCCTAAAAAAACACTAAAGTAACACAAAAACGGCTAGTCATCAGAAGGTGACAAAAGAACCCAGAACACCATCTAAAGCCCTACTGGCCTCATCAGCCTAATCTAAGCTCAATGATCAAGGCTAAACAACAACAAAGATCCAAGACTTTTGGGAAAATATTCTGTGGCTGATAAGAAAGAAGTGGAACTTTATGGAAAGTGTGCATCCCATTTCATCTTCACTAAAACTAATTTCAGACCATGAACATCACACCAACAGTAACACATGTGGGTAGCTGCTTACTATGGTCTGGTTCTGGGATGCGGGCGCTAGCTGGGGATGGTGGGCCTGGAGGCCCAGGTGGCCCTGGCAGCCCTCTCTCTCCTGGGAGTCCGGGTGGACCGCGGGGCCCTGAAAGAACATGATTAATTAGAATGGTGGCAGAGATCTGGCACGTCATGGTAGAATTAAATCTTAAACACTCTTCCTAAGAGCCATGACACAATGCAGACTGATGAATGACTGTGGGTGATATGCTAAACTGTAACAAAGAACAGAGTATTAGAGGAAGTATTGATACAATTTACAACTTGAGTTTTCTCTGTGACTATATGAGGACATATGAAGCAAAGTTATGGGCTGAGAGGAATAAAGGGGACATAGTGAACTGACCAAGTTTATTACTCTGTAATTAATTACAGGATAATTAATGAATAGGCACTTAAAACTTGGTAGCATATAGAAACTCACTTCCTTTCTTCATCCTTTTCTTTCCTTGCACTCTACCTTTCTTCTCTTTTCTGTGTTCTCCCATTTTATAAAGTCTTGTTGACTACATTCCTCCCTTTTCTGTTGTGCATCCTTTCTTGTATCTTTGCTTCCTCGTTCTTGTATAATTCTTTATCTTCTACCATTTTGTCTGTTCATTCATTAGGTCCCTTTCCTCACTTTTTGCCTATCTTCCTTTCCTTTATGCACTCTTCTTTCCTTGTGCCAATCCTTCCTCCCTTTGTTCCTCCCTTGTCTCCTCCTTTCCTTCTCCACGTTTTTCCCTAATTTCTTGCCTTCATCCCTTCCTTCCCTCTCATATATGCTGCCTTCTCCCTGTGTTGGGTTTTCCATAATTGTATTGCTTTTTCTATACTTCTTCATCCTACCACACCCTTCCTTCCTTCCTTTTAGTTTTTAGTTTAGTTTTTAAAACTTATCTGCCATAATTCATTAGTAAAATAAGCATTAAAATACTAAAATAAACATAAAGGATGTAAATCTAGAAAGATAAATCTAGAGAAATATGGGATTCTTAAATAAAAAATGTGGAGGAATCCTGTCCACAGTTGTGTGTAACAGGTCTCAGACAGGCTGCTAGTAATAGTGCCCTCTCACCTACTTCACTCACTAATTTGAGGCTGGAAAAAGCATCATCTGACCTAACTGCGGCCATCACCTCTGTCCCTTCTTTTCATCAACACTGTTTATACAGTCAGGCAATTGTTAAGTACAGTCCAATAATTACTGCAGCGCTCCATGATGTTATTACAGCTTTGATTTGACAGTTTGTGACCTTCTAGCTGTTTTCTCTAAACTTTGGTAGGGTATAGAAGAACAGCTTACAAAGTGTTGGCTATTTCTCTGAGACTGTAAGCCCTCTGTAGCACAATGGTTTACATTAATACTCCAACCGGCCTTTCAAAGGTAATGCAACATATTAGGGAAATCTGTTAAACTTTTTAACCTTCCAGTTAGAATCTCCATCCAGATTCTGAAGGAAAGCTGTGACAAAACGATAGCATATTTGCAACACAAAGTGGACTTTTCTCTTGTATTGAGTAATTTTTAGGTTACACTGGTCACATTTCACCCCTATGTTTATCTGTTACTTTAAATGAAAGAAGAAAAAAATCCTTTGGATACCCATGAAGTAATGGAGACAGAAAAAACAATAACACTGCAGGCATATGGAAATCATAAGGAGCTCAGATTTGTATATGTATAGCTCATGCTTACTTCAGATTGAAGTCACATGGAGCTGCTCAGAAAGTGGGTTTGTAGTTCAAGTTTCGCCCTAAATCTCACTTTCACCTGGCAGCCTGTGCAGCACAGGGTTCATACGTTAGCCTGAAAGGAGAAACACTCCCTTCGTGATTCAAAGCAGAGGAATAACAGTCAATAGCAAGAGCAGATGTTGTGGCACAACTTAGACTGCCATTTACTTTAGTCTTTACAGTTGCAGCTAAAGGTGGATTAACTTTTCCTCAACAGGTCATCTGTTATCCCCCTACAATGAAAAGTGAGTTCTGGATTTAAAGGATATATTTATGATTTGATTTCACTCCGTGTTGATGACAGTGAATAGCAGGACACAGATGTGAGTTCATGCTGTGGCTCAAGACATATAAACCCCAAACGTTTTCTTTTTTTTTTTTGTCATCTCAAATGGATTTTATGAAATATACCAACAAAAATTAGCACACTGTTGTGAAGAGGCAGGACAATGAAAAAGGAGAACAAAAATGGTCTATGCGGCATGTATATTGTTTTCAGCTCCATTTATTCTGATAGCAGCTTTAGTTTATGATATTATATTATCTCAAAGGTGGAGAATCATAAGGATTAAAACCATCATCCAGACATGTAATGGGTATGGTGGAACTGCAAAACTAATGTAGACAAGGCCGTTCACAGGAAATGAAAGGCCAATGTAAAGACAGCAATAATTGGGGAATCCAGACAAGAGGGTCGTGGCAACTGCAGCAGATTTTGAGCACTTATGAGTTATGGTTTCGTTTTCTGGTCCTTGAGGTCCTTCGTCCTACATCATTTAGATGAGTTTTTGCTTTTAAACACCTTAGTGAAATACTCAGGTGATAAGCAGGACTCTGGGGATCTTGACAGCATGCTGAGGATTTAATTCCCCTGTTTGATTCAGATGTGGAAGCAGAGATTTCTGAATTCTAAAGGAGGAACATTTTTACCCGATGCAAAACATTGTTTGTGATGGAAAGCTTGCTCTACATATCATCATGAAAACACCATCCATATCATAAAACATGGTTGATTGCAGCATTACGCTGTTTGAACGCTTCACTTCAGCAACGGGGAAGAAACTGATCAGAGTTGACCGAATAATGAACAAAGTTAAATGTTGGAAAATCCTGCAGTGAAATCTGTCACAGCCTGACTATAGCATTGACTGAGGATATATATGTGTTAAAGTGGCCCAGTCAAAGATTATACCTAAATTCAACTAGGAATCTGTTTTATGACTAGAAAATTGCTCAGAGAGTCTCTTCACTCAGTTTGACTTAAGTTGAACTATTTTGCAAAAAAGGGTAGGTAATGTGGGTCTTCAGATGTGAAAAGCTGGTGACACGTTTCAGATTTTTTGCAAAAAGCTTAACATGCTTAAAATAATTATAATTTTCCATCAGAGGCAATTTCTCAATCAATACTACAGAGGCTAAACCTCCCCTGTAAATTTCGGAAAGTTATTGGTAAAATATGCATTGTCAAACTTCATAAATGTAGTCATTAACCTGCATTAAATATGTGCTAAAATGCACCTGATTTCATGAGTATGTTGCGCATTAATCAGATGTTTATTCTGGTTTTTCTTCCCTCTACTCTGGAGCAGGAGGAAGCTGCCTATCAGTCTCTATGAGAAATCCCTGTTCAGGTTTGAGCCTCAGTCTGTTGATGTAAGCAGCGAGAGAGTAGAGCCCTGATTGGATAACACGCCAAAATAGGTCACTTCCAGTGAGGCTAAACCTCTTAGGGGGTCTATGGAGCAGGGGCGGGTCATAAGGCTGGCTGCTCGATGCTGGTTGGCAAACATATTTAAGGATCTTTGACTGACAGTGGGCATGCAGCATGGAGGTTTCCTCACGAGTCAAGAGTAAGAAGTGATCATTCAGTGTTTCCTGTAGTTTATTATTTCAGAGCGCTTCACAACAGTTATTTTCACCCATTGTAGTACGTGTTTTATGTGTTTCAAGATTTGTTAATGCCTTACGTGATGTTTGGTTTTAATTAACACCATCAAGTCAGCACTGTTTCAGAAAGCAGCAGCTGCCACTGTTTTCCTCCCACTCGCCTATTATATACTACTTTGTGTTGCGTCGGTTTCATAAAACCCACTAAAACACAATGTAGCCTGTGTTTGGTGGAGATAAATGAGGATTTAAAGGGGTTGTGTCCGTTTGCAAGGCACTGCAAGTAGTCTAAATAAAACTTTTAGTGGCACTTAAAAATATCTAACCTTAAAAGAAAACCGATAGAGTTGAAATTTCACTGAACAACCAGCAGACCTCAAAGGCCATTGGAATGTTCCAGCTTTCAGCTCTGAGGGTCTTTTGGCTGACCAAAGACCAAAAATCTTACTCTGACAAATAGCCTTTTGCAGAGTATCAAAAGTCAAATTTATCATCTGCTGTTTTTGCTGCTCTATTGTCAGAAACCATAGAGTCATATTGAGAATGTAATGAGTAGTTTGAGATGTAAACAAATGCCTTGCAGGACCATGTAGCTTTTTTTAAGAAGTGTGTACAGTGCTAAATATGTTTATAATCAACTGGGATATCTAATGTGAAAGATGGCTGTAAATCTCTGGTTCATTCTGACCTGCTGGTCCTGGAGGTCCCTTCAATCCAGGAGCTCCAGGGGGACCCCTTGCTCCAACCTCTCCTGGAGCCCCATTGGGACCTGGCAGCCCTCGAGTTCCTGGCTTTCCTTTAAGGAAAAAAAATAAATAAATCGGGAGTAATCAGGAATCCCTTACCACGTTACATCCTGGATGACATCAGCTGAAGTGCAACTACAATTACAACTTACCATCTCTGCCAGGAAGTCCATCTCTGCCCTTTTCACCCTGAGGACCTGAAAAAGAAACAGGAGATTCCTTCATTTGGAGGTTCATATCTGTGAAAAAATCTGAATTCAAGCCACCTGGAGAAGATGAAGTGTAATTCCTAAGAGGCATTACATGCATTTCAGCCTAAATTACAGCTTCCCTGTGAAATGAACCAATGTGTTAGGTGAAGATACAGCTCTTATATAAGTGTATAATTGAAACATGGATTTTAAATTTGTAACAGTTTGCATGACTTACACAAAAACGCATTTTATAGTATATACTTGTCATGATTCTTCCTTTTCTGGGCGTTTTGGTTCTGTTTCAGTTTTCTTTCTTAGTTTTCAGTTACACTTTGACTAATGTTATTCTGTGTTTTCTAGGTAATTGTTTCATTAACGTTTTGTGTTATTCTAGTTGTTTTTCTGGTTGTATTTGAGTTCTTATGTATTTCTCGTTTACTGTCTGTTCCTCCGTGTGTCAGTCTCCTTTCCTCCCTTCTAGATCCTTCTGTCTACACCTGCTCCCAATCAGTTAATTACTACATTCTTTGTTCTGTTTGGGATTTACACCGAAATCCCACATCCTCTGTAACCGCTCTGCCCTGCTCCATTTCAGACCTCCTGCACAAGGCAAAGCCTACAGCCTCCGCGGTTCCTCCCATCTTGCTCTGCTCCAACTTCCCTGGAGCTCGAGGAGAGCATGCGCAATAATATTTTTTAATTCATAGGAGAAAAAGATGCGGTAATGAACCCTTAATTTATTGCGACATAATTAAAACATCAGCATCAATCACACAGGTTTCTGCCCAAGCATATTTTTTTCCTTGTGGGTCTTTGTAATAGGTATAATTAGGATCATACAGAATTGGTTTGTTCTCTACTTCCAAACTCAGCATCTCTTCATCCATGCCTGCGATAAGAAGTTTCTTTTAAAGCTGCAAGATGCGCTTTTGATAGTCTAATTTCCAAAGAGGCACATGGTCTGAAAAGTCTTTGACAACCTTCTTTCATGGAGAATCATATTTAAGGTCTTTTTATAAACCAATAAAAATCATCTTATAGTTTCAGAGAAAAACTCCTGCTTAGGCCTTATATCGATGCTCTTGTACTGCAGTTTCATTTGAACAAAACAAAGACAAAACAGAAGCACTAGTTAAAAAACAAACTAACAAGTCCAACCAAAAAAAACCTAATAAAAAAAACAGAAAAATAAAATTTGTTTAGGGAAAAGCTTTGCACAGAGTAGTAGAGTTTAACACACCCACTTTATTCCCAAAGGTCTAGTTTAATTTAAACAAAATCTGTTCTGATAGACTAGTTAGACTAAACAATACGTAATCCTTTAGATCATTTGGTTTGTAATGTGTTGGACTCAACACAGGACATTGATTTTGTGAACAGAAATGACAGAAAATGCAGGAAAAAGATCTGAACGGGTAACAGACTGCAAATAATGATCATGTTTGCCTGAAAGAAAGGAAGGAAGCGCTGTTTCTTGTCAAAGTATGGAAAATGTAAAGCTCTAGGGTCCAATTAATGGAAAATGTACATACATTTACATTAGCACATATGGTCATGGGTTACCTGCAGGTCCCCGCTCACCAGGGGCTCCTTGAGCTGAGACTGCTCCCATCAGCAGCGAGGTCTCTGGAGCAGTTCCCCCTTTACTTTGAAGATGGCGATGTGATATGCTCTCTGGTACTGTGAGCAATTGAACCTGAGGGGAAGAAAAAAAAAACAACCGCAGGTCATTTAACGGTATCCTCTAATAAAGAAGACATATGATCTTGATAAATAATTCAGATAAAGTTTTCACCTTTGCCTCCAGTGAGTTGAGTTTTTCGCTTAAAGCTGTGATTCTACTGCAGTTGAGACAACCTAAAAAATAGAAAATGGATTTCTTAAGCTGGAGGATGCAGATATCAGGGTATCTCCTTATCATCTTGTTTTTATGCAGGAACAGGAAGACGTTCACTGGTCTTACTTAAGATAGATTCTCCTGTGCGCGCTGGCGGACGCCTTGATGTGGATGCTCTCCTGACAGCCTCTTGAGCTAAGGCCTGGTTCCCTGGATCTGTGACAAACAACAAAGTACCAAATAACATCAAATAATGTCTCAGATGAAAAGTTCCAGAAACAATCTCACCTTTAAAATGTGATTATCAGATTTAGGATTTACATTCCTGATAAAGTAATTTTGAAACATAAACTTTTCCTTCTCTGAAAAATAAAGCTAAATTTTCTTGTTCACTTAATTTATATCTTATGAGTCTAGACATAGAAACAATTCATTGATGCTGTAACCGTTGACTACTATTGGATTTATTTCCACAACCTACTGCTGTGGAAAAAAATCCAATATGTACCAACAAGACAAAAAAACTTAAAAAACCAAAATGTGACAGTGGCCTACAGGGGTTAAAAAGCATTTTTATCCCTTAAACCTTTTCACATGTTTGTTGTGTTACCAATGCAATCATGCATGTACTTCTTTGGTATGTTTGTGTGACAAATAAACATCAATAGGAGGCTGATTGCTAGATGGATGAAAAGAAAACAACATATGATTTTAAAAAAATGCTAAAGTTGCAGTTGTATTTTGCAGATCGAAGACCAAGTTCTGTAGAATTAACTTTTGCAATAATTACAGCTCAAAGTCCTTCAGGGTGTCCATCAGGTTTGTACATGTAGAGCCTGACATATATGCACATTCATGTTTGCAAAATAGCTTAAGCTTAGTCAAATTAGATGAAAGACATCGGTGAACTTTATATTTTAACTCTTGCCAGACATTCCTGGTTAGATTTACATCTGATCTTTGACTGGGCCGTTTTAAATCAATCAATTTGTTGTGCAAATGCAATATCCAGCCTGTAACTGGTGCTGTATGATTTGAACTTAACTATTCCACTGCAGCTCTGACTGTAGGGACCCATATCTTATCCATTTACTTTTATTTCAGTCTTGCTCCATCAATTGAGAAGCTTTCCTGTCTCTGCTGTAGAAAAACATCCCCCCAAAAAAAGAAGCTTCCACATCAATAATTTACAGAGGGGATGGTGTGTTACGGATGCTGTGAAGTATTAGTTTTCAGCTATAATTAGGGTTTTAGATTTAAAAAAGTGCTCTGGTCTCATATGATCAAAATACCCTCTTCAACATGTTTTCATTGCCTCCCTACATTGCCTTTGCCTCACTGCAAATTCAACTTTCAGTTGGCCTCTTTAAAGAATGCCTTTTTTCCGCTTCTCTTTCAAAGCTTAGGATGTTGTTTTATAATCTATCCCTATTTTAAACATCTCAGCAACTCTATGCCATCCTGACCTTTGATGCAGTGAGCAAAAAGGTCTGCAGAGAGGATCATCAGTGCTGACCTTCTATCCAGGTGCTTTACAGGTCTCTGGTCAGGAGAAGGGCAGCCAAGAGAGAGATCTCACACAGTTTATTTTTATAAAGAGTACTATTAGCAAAGACCAGCCCCCATAGATACAGATTCTTCACTAAAGCTATGAGCATTAAACATTCAGAGTACCCAGAACAATATACCGGTACCATAATGAAGCAAATGTTTTTTTTCTACAAAATTCTTTTCACATACGTTTGTTCAACATGTCTTCATGGGGGTCAAAGAGGAACTAAACTCAAACGTCTTGCTTGTGTGCACCTGAAATAATGCTGGTTCTGATTTAACATACCCCTGAGGCCTTCACTAACCAGCCTAATTTATGCAGAGATTATATCGAACACAGGTGCAATGTGTGAGATTTTTGAAGACTTGTGTTTTCTTTTATTTTTAGGGATCAGAACAAAGTGGGTGAAAGCAAATGTGGAAAAACCATGTATGGTTTCGATTTCACTTCAAATTTATATGTTCTATTACATACCATCCATAATCATACAGCAGTCATCACTTTCATGATATGAAATCAATATAAAGTTATTGTTTTAAATCAAACTGCTTATAATGAGCTTTTTCTATCCATTAGAGAAGCTCTTTATTTTGAAAAACCTTCTAGGGAGAGAAAGGTGGAAATCAACTGTAGGAGCAGCAGCTTTTGTCTGTGTTATATTTGCTGCTTCCTCACTAAGTTGTGTTTCTTTCCCATTGTCTCTTATATCGTGTTATTCTGCAAAGCTATGGACTAGAGGCATGTAAAGAGAAACAAAAGAGTCTGTTGTCTGAAGAGAATAGACTGTCTCAGCTCTTGTTCTGCCTTTACCTCATTTTATGGAGTGTAGGATTTTTTTTGTCTTGAAGTTCTGGGATGTTTTGAATGGGTGGACGTTTGTGGCAACGCTAGACTGATTCCATTGTCTAGAACTCTAGACCACTTTTGCCCTGGTTGGCCCAGGTGCTTTTAAAACAAATAAGTGGTTGGGTTCAGCACCTCATTAGCCACAAGGAAGCATGTCTTTCCTTTCACTGCCCCAGCTATGCCAAATGCAACATTGAGAGAAGCCATTAATAGCACCTGCACCACAGTTGAGGCAAGATAGCCATATTCCTCTTAAACAGCTTCAATGACATAACTGTAGATGCCATAATCCTCTGCAGGAAATCCAATGGATTATTATTACAATACATAAAAATAAACATTATACATAAACCTAGAAAGCAGCAACAGAGAATATAAAACACACTGCATATGGTTCAGAGTAAATTCAGACTGCTTCAATTATCCCCCCTTCCTTCTCCTTTGTGCCCATGATTTCACTGTTTTGGGTTGTGGGCATTTCTCAGCGGATTACATGTGTCCACAGACTCAAACAATCTACTCTTTGAGAATGAAATGTTACTGTATAAGATCTGCATGTTCACCCTTACATGTTTTAAGAACAATATAAACTCTTTCACTGAGATGGGGAGAACACACATTCTGTCTCCCCTCCCCTCTCACCCGTCCCACACGTCAGTCCACATGAGGGAAAGCTGCGGAGACAAAGGGAAGTGTGTATGTGTGTACATGTGAGAGTGCATCCCGCAGAGCCTCCCCACAGAGTCCGGATCATGTAGACGGCTGTTTTCAATTACAAAAAAAGGGGATCTGGGCCTGAAATATAGGTCTTACTCCTCCCCTGGCAGCAGAACTTCTTGTCCCTCAGAAGTAAAGAACATTTAAGATCAGTTCCCAAGACAAGATGTTTTTTCTGCAAGGAATTAAGCTTGCTTTGAAATTACAAACCAGTGCCTTCCACTCAGCTCTGTAACAGCAAGGAGCATGTTTTCATCTGCAGTGCATGCAATGGTTTCAGCAGACAGTCTGCTGTATGTGTGCAGACAGAGGATGACCAAGATCCACTCTCTGTTGGCAAATAACATCGTCTTTACACTCTATCAGCTCTTTGATCTAATTGACTAATTCTTCCTGCTCGAGGGGAAGAAAAAATGTGATAATGTGTTTGACCTGTTCAACCCCGCAGTAACATTAGTGTCCAATCAGCAGCTTAGCCAGAGCTCTTCATTAGAGATACCCCTGCAGTGAGTGCAGCAGGCCAGAGACTAAACCTTTTCTTATCACACTCACACAAAGTTCAGTGATTCGTTTGCAAACACTTCCTGGCACGGTCTCTGCTCCCGACTGACTCTTGGAGAGAAACAAACAAGACACCAAGTGCACCAAGTTAATCCTTTCCGCTTTCATAATCTCTTTGTGTAGTTAAGAAATATGAAAGATGACCCCAGGGAGCACTGCAGCAAAGGGTTTAATAGTCCATATGTCAGGAGAAATTAAGACACTGTGTGAAATATAAACAAAGGGAGTGGTGGAGTGAAAAAAATACTTCTAAATCATACTGGTGTGCAGCCCCTTTTTTTCTTATGATTTTACACGCTATCCTGGAATTTCTGATTAGATTGTTAAAGTGTGTTTTGGAGAAACAAATTTGATTCTCACAAATCATGTACCACTAAACCTCAAAATACAGGCAGTAATAAAGTAAAGTTTATCTTAGGATGTTTCAGAATTGAGATCCACCCAACTGGAGCATATTAGATTTCTCAAGAAGTGACACTGAACTATTAAATTCGCCCAGATGATGCATAAAATATAATTTCCAAATTTCCTACACAAGCAAAAAGTCCCTTTCTTATCTTTACAAAGAGATTGTGGCTGTTCCAAGCTAAGATGAGTTTCCTTGCAATTTTTTTCTACCTGGGAAATCGTAATTTTTTATTATTTTGTGTTTGTAACTTTCATTGTAAAACAGGATTTAAAAAACATAAAAAAAAAAAGAAAAAAAAAAAATGGAGCTGACAGTTTCACCTGGCCTTAGTATCTTATATTAGAGATTAGAGCACTGATTGTGGTTATCCCAGTGGGTATTACCGGTACTGAAAACACAATTTCTGTGTTTGTTTCAAAGAAAAGAGAATCTTTAGAAGAAGCTATAAGCTCTCCAAAGCGCTGACAACATTTCCAACAAACATAACACAGGTTGAAAGCGAAAGCTAGCAAGTTTCTTGCTTTTCACTGTGAGGATGTCCATCCCATTACCTGTATTTATAGTTTTTCTCTCTTATTTTTAAGCATCTCACAGATTCTAATAAGATATAACATCCTTTACGCTAAAGATTGTGGTGGTACAATGTGTTCCTTGATTCTTAATTTTCCAACATTTAACTGGTAATTAAATACAGCAGCTAGATATACAAGCTGTAAATTGATTTGCACCTCTAAGCTCCTCTTTAAGATTTTTCTGAGTCAACCAATGTGCTCTGAGCATTCTGCTGGAGACAAATGTGCACAATTTGGCAGCCGCTCTGAGAGAAAACACCTAACCACAAACAGGAGTCAGCAGACACAGCAAGGTCTGCAGTCCTGATCCATCTCTGTCTGGTTGATTAGCTGAGCTCAGCTCTGCAGCATCATTAGTGACCAGATGTTGACAACCATGCAGGCGAGGAAGGGAGGCATTTATCTCTGCCTCTGTTCTAGTGTCCGGTACGGAAACAGTCTTCTCCTTTCTTTAAACAGCACACAGAAGTTTTCAGTAAACATTGCTCAGCAAGATAAACATTTTTGGGTTAACCTTAAATTAGAAAGAAATTAAAATAACTTCTTCATAGAATTACAC